AAGATACTGAGGGAAACCTAATTACCGAAGAGGAGAAACAAAGGAAATGAGGGGCTGATCACTTAGAAAAAACTCTTGAATCGACCACCACCTGCAACTTGTCCACAAATACTACCAACAACGGCAGAACTACCAGTGAACACAGGCCCTCCGACAAAAGCGGAAATCCTGAATGCCACAAAACTGCTGAAATCCGGTAGAGCAGCAGGACCAGATGAAATTCCACCAGAAGCACTGAGAACAGACACTGAGACAACAGCGGACATGCTCACACCAATACTGCAGAAGGTTTGCAAGGGAAGAAGGGAAGGTACCTACCAACTGATAGGAGGAAGGGCTATCTTGTCAGCAGACTCCTGAAGAGGGGAGACCCAAGTCTTTGCATGAACTAGCGAGGAATCATGCCCCACTTCTGTCCACCCCAAGCAAAATATTATGGGTTCAAAATTACGACTGGAACAGGTTGGCTGGCTGGCTGTCTGGCCTCAGGAAGAACAAATCATATGAGCATCAAATTGCAATGCGACACTACGCATCATCATAGAACAGAGTATAGAATGGCAGGCAACTCAGCTCAACCTCAACTCCATCGACTTTGAAAAGGCCTTCGACAGCGTCGACTGAGAAGTAATTTGGCAGGCAGTTGCTTCAACACTGCAGTTTTAGTGCCACGTATCTTTATCAACCTCATTCAACAGCCGTATGAAGACGCCACATGCCAAGTGATCCACAATGGAAAGCTCAGTGACACCTTTGAAGTGAAGATAGGGGACAGGAGTAAGACAAGGCTCCCGCCTACTATCACCCATCATCTTCCTGATTGTGGTCGACTGGAGTGAACTGGATCATGCAATCAACTGAGAGGAGCTGTGGGAAGATGGGCATACGCTGACTGGACCGATGAAAAGACCAAAGAGGAGAATTTGGATTTCGCCACCGATGATGATTGCTGTCTGATGTCTTGTTGCACAAACTCGATGATCTACAGACGAAAACCAACAAGTTGACAGAAGAGGTAGGGCAGCGAAGATGGGACTTCCTTCAGGTGAACGTAGAGAAGATGAATGCAGAGGTGATCAAGATACCCAACCAACAACAACAGACACCAATCACCATTAACGGGAGAAACTCAAAGGAAGTTGTCTCCTTCACCTACCATCTAGGCAGCATCGTTCCAACTACATGCGGCATAGGCACAGACAAGGATGTCAAAACCAGGATCGGTAAAGCAAGACAGGCCTTCATTAGTCTGAAATCAGTGTGGAGATCTACTTCACTCAGCATGTGGAACATGATCCGGATTTTCAACAATAATGTCAGGCTAGTCAGTGCTGCTATATAGTTGAGAAACTTGGCGCGTCACGAAAAGCATTTCCAACAAACTACAGACATACATCATCAACAGCTGCCGCCTACCCTCAACAATGAAGACCAGATGGCCAGAATAATAAGAATGAGCACCAAGGAAGTCTGGTCGGGCAGCGAACCAACCAATAACCTATCTCCCAACAAATATGCAGTGGAAGGAGGTGGAGATGGATTGGATTGGATTGGATTGGGCATACACTGAGAAGACCGATTGGGGACATCACGCGGCAAGTCAGGTCGTCGAGTGAAATCCGAAGGAGGGGGGCGACGAGTTTGGTGTCCCAGCTGAGGGTGATATGGAGGAGATCATGTGAGGAAGGAATGAAAGCTTGTGGGCAATGGTGGAGCCAGGTTGAGCCTTACTGGAGAGAAGAGAATTGAATGGAGATGTGCTACTGAAGCCCTACATTCCACTAGGAACCCATGGGGAAAATGAATATATAGATAAAGAATAAGAGTAAGCAAACAGTATCCCTTGTATGGCATTTCGTAGTGTTACTTAATCCGGTTATGCTGTTAAAATAGCCTAAATCAAACTTCACCTATACTGCGTTTCAATCTCGCTGAATAAATGGTTTGACCGTTTTTAGCCAATAGGAATTTTAGCGTAACACATTTCGAACAATCTGGTCACACACATAATTGTTATAGGTGTTTATATGAAAATCTATCAAGGGACAAATGAGGAGAATATGAGATGCAGTCACGTAGGAACACAAATAAAATGTGAAGTAACAATGAAAATCAGGAGAGCGAAAATAATGGTACATCGAACTTGGTTTGTGTTAAATTCACCAGGGGAGATTAGTTTGACAATAAATTGTTTTTAAACCCTAAAGGTGACTTAAACTTCTTAATAGCTAAGGTCTCGATAAATTTAAGGATCCGTTCCAAACACATATTGTAAATAGGTTTAAAGGAAGTTGGAACATCAGTCTTGTGGTCTATCTCGAAGTTTATAAAGAGAACTAATTGCTTTAAGAATTTTGACAATTTAATATGTATTTCCGGATTTGCGTCTAGTGTTTGCTTTTGTACGCCTTTAAAAACTTTATTTAGATTCCAGTTACCTCTCAAATATTAGATTACTTTCTTTCGAGTGCTGTAGCCTTTTAGTGGTGGAAGAGACTTTTATGTCATGCAAATTATTTAAGTTCTCAAATTTTATTAAAGTTGAGTGAATTAACTTTACAAAACCAACTTTTTATGACAATTTCGATGCAAGGGATAAAAAGAAACTTAGCTTAAACTCTTATTTTGCAAATGGATTAATCAAATGTGTACAAGATACATGAATATTTTTAACAAGTATTCGCTTCATTCAGTTAGCTAACTGCCATCTTTCCAAACATTTCCGTCGTTTTACTATTTATTGATATACTTGTAGTTTTCCGTTGTTTTATCGGATGGAGTTGTCCGACCTCTCTTGGCAGATGGGCTCGTATGCGGATGCCTCAGTATCGCCTGAATGTTGATTATGGTAGATTGCTTGGTTGTGGCTAGCAGAACAAGTGGCTACTGTGCCTCTGTGGCATAGGGGATAATGTCTTAGCGTTTGAAGAGATGGATATGAGGTTCGAGTCTCACTGGGAACAACATCACTCACTGGAGTGCAGGTACATCCCGGTGATGAGTCCCAAATAGGACTAAATGCGCGTCCTGGATTCTTCTACTAGTCACAACCGAGCAAATTACCAATTTCGTCGTTTGACTGGCGTCTTGACTTTTTCCTTGGCAAATTTTACAAATAGATTCTATATCACTATGTCTATAGGTCATGGTTTTAGCGCTTCTGAGCTCTCTGTGATCTAGAATTGGTGACTTATCTCAAGTTAATCCATTTCATAATGATGCATACGATACTGAATGCAATCCTTTTGCTCCCTTCGGTCTATGATCGTGCAGATCAGAAGGCAAGAGGAAACTAAATTGTTAGTCTAGAAATTCACGAAGTTTGTCTTGAAGATGTAAGTCATCTACTCTTCTTCTGCTAAGGTAATGTTGATTGTGACAGCTTAACCTTGATTTTAAAAACGAGAAAATTCCATTTTGTTACGTTGCTTCCGACAATGTGTTGCTTACTTACAACGTCTAAACTATCACGGTAGGATGATTTTCATCGGTAGGAGTCACCCTCTCCCTGTTTTATACATTTATACGAAAACGCATACCTTACAGATAAACTCTTGGACAAAAATGCTGCTGTGAGTTGATAATCAGAAGTGGCAACAAAAATGGTAATTCCTGATCAGTAACATACTAAGTATCCCCAACTGTCATCCTCTTCAGTGTCGGAAAGCATAACCACTGAAAATGACCTTTATTGATGACCACTGTGATGTAGATCCTAGAAGGAAATGAATAGCTGAAGCAGTAAGAAAATGAAATTTTATAAAATAGCTTAACCTTACTAGGTGATTTTGACTGAACCGATGCACTCGTGTACGAGGTTCTACGATGAATTTTGTTTGTCTGACTGTTATATGACCCTGAATTGTTTTAAGTCCTTCGGGTATTTAAACTAAAACTAATTGTGCTTTGTTTTCGTTGTTTTCCATAGAGATCAAGGTTTTATTGCATTCATCTGGTTATCATTATCATAGCATTTCAGTTCTCTTCTACACTTTCTGAAGAAATCACACTATCTAGAAGGAGTAAGTGTGTGATACTGAAGCAGAACAGAAAACGGTGGCGATACAATACTCAGTAATCTATAATATTATTTCCTGTTGATTATCGTGTCTATTGATCATTCTCTTAAACGATGATTTCTCGCACGGTCTCATTAAAAGTGGGGAACTGATATTTTATTTGATTGCACTTAATTATGGGTGAAATAGGAGAGCATTTGTTAGCAACCAGTGTGATGAAGCACAAAGTGTTACAAACACCTAATTCATACGTCAACTGATAGAAAGCTTAGATTCAAAGGAAACAAAATCTTGGTTTGTATCCCATTTACTCAGTCAATCTGTTATATCCTCGGGTCAGTAATCTGGAGATTGCTGTTTATTAACTCACTGAAGAAGTACGTTTGTAAGTTTTCAAACTATTTTTCAAGTCAAAATCTTTGGTTCTCTCAAAAGCAGCTCCTCCAGTTCAAACACTGAAAGATGAATTTATAAGTCAAAAACGTTATTTCGGTTTTCTAGACCTTCTCTAGCCTCCCAGGTCTACCGAAGTCACGATCACGAAGCCTACTTCTGATTAGGCACATATGCATGAAAACGGTGCGCAAAACGGAACATGCATTTCTATTAACGGGTAAGGCCCCAAGACCCGCGGTATCTATCCTTACCACCTTATCAGCGACAGAAGAGATTATCTGCCCTGGGTTATCCCACTAAGGTCAGTTATATCTCACTCTCATCGTAAAAATGGCTACCTTAAGTAAATTGGAGTGGCTGACACATTTTGTTGTTAATGATCTGCTTTCTAGTAGCAATTACCATAGAAGTTGATTCAATACTTATTGATCGCAGTAAACAATTTGATCCATAAACTCCACCGATAATAAATTCTATGGCACAGCTCGAATAAGTATCCATCAAGTGATTCGTCTACTGATGGACTCAAATAAACGCAATAGAACTTGCGAATAAACACATAAAAATGTATTTTAATCCACTTACTGTTACAAAATCATCTGTTACTGTACTATTTTTGGAATAATCTTCAAGATCTTGAATTGAAATTACTCCATCATTATCGACATCAATTAAAGAAAACGCATGCAAAATTCCTGATTCACTCATAGTCTGTGATTCAAATTAAATCTCTTGATCTGTTCAATAAGTGGTTAGATTTATACTGGTTCCATTAAAACCAAATTTTCATTGAGCTCCACACGTATATTTATATTTTAAGAAAGTCAAAACGCCAAAAACGTAAACGTTTACTTCGATGTGTGTGTTCATCTCACTTTATACAACCATTAAGAAGATCGATTAGAAGGTACAAAGTTAATGAAACTGAAAATTTCATTGGTAGTATATGAAGAGAAACAATCTCTTTATCTTTGGCAAGTAATAGCAATAGACCACATGAATTTTTTTAAATTTTTTCAATAACAAATTTTTTTAATGATGAATAACTAAGATATATCATTAATTTTTCACTTTGACAGATTTGTGATCACCATTATTCACACTTACATCTTCAGCCACCAAAAATTGAAAGTAACTACCCAATAGAAGTTCAGAATTACCGCATAGTATCTGATTTAATTTGCAAACTTGTTTCACTCCATTCCATGATTATTCAGTACTAGGCATGATTAACCATTATCATTCAATCAAAAGGTAGCCAACACATTCAACTAGCCATATAACATTGAATATCATTCTGAACTGCATGATTTGCTGTCATGATACAATGTTGCTACATGCAAGGATAATTAAATGTCTTTTTGATGCTTAGTTTTTGGAACTTATGTCACATAAATTAAGCGTCAGTGAAAAACTTTAAAGTACTGCAAGTAATTAAATGTCCCCATCAACTGAGAAGTTATTTTCAAGGTTCTTCAACTCCATTGAGCAAACTCATGTGATACGAAATTCGTCGCACTAGTGAGAATCTCTTTCCATGATTCGATTGTCTTTATCCTCATAAACTCAAGATACTAGGAAGAAAGGGAAAACTCACATAAAGTGAAAAATAACTCTAGTATGCGACAACTAAGGTACCTCATCAAGTCTAAAGCTAAACTTCTAGACCGACCTGCAGTATGAACGAACGTCTTTCATCTTGCAAAAGCCTCCAGTACGTGGAAAATGTCTGGCTTCACGTTGCCACGCTTTACAGCAACATGGAGAGAAGCAATAAATAGAAAAAAGTCACATCAAAGTGGACAAACGTTTAGGCAGGATGAAATTTAAGTATAAATGTCAGTAAAAGTACAAAGAAACTTTTGCAGCGGATAAATATTTTTTTAATGAAGTTATTCACCAAACTGTTCATTCGTGAATGTATATTGGAAAGGGTAGAACATTCCAGAGTCATTTCTAGTCAGAAATAAAAATATATTAAATAACAACAGGAAGTTACTCAATAAAAACAAGGGCTTCGAGTAGAAAAATAAACAAGGAATTAAGAAAAGGAATCGAACTTCTTAATGTAGGACTTTTCTCGAACAGTCAGGGTTCCATGATGACTATGGTAACCACCAAGGCTCGACCTACTTTTTGGGGTATATGCCACTGGTTTTAAATTCTGGGTAGTCAGTACTTACTTCAGCTGCATACAAATGCCTTGATTTAGTTTTGTGATGACTTAAACAAAATCAAATAAAAAATATCAGTAAAAAATCCAGCAGTCGAAATCTTTTGTCAAAATCTGAACTCAAGTGAGTGAAGTAGGGAGAAATAAAAGCCTGGTCATTACCTGCCCAAACAAATCCGACTATATCGACAAACTTAGCACATTCTATCCGATGAAAAACATTCTTAAAACAGGCAACACAGAAAGATCCTAGTGAACAGAGAGAACTCAAGCTGTTGAAGACACTTAGAAAACTGTGAAGCTAGTAATTCACTGGCATGAAACCTTAAGATCAGCTGTTCCCATTGGGTTTAACGACCCCACATTTATACAGTCTTCCCGAAATACTCGAAGAAGATATACCACTGTGTCCAACACTAGACATCAAAAATTTAGTTCTTAAGTGGCTTATGTAAACACTCAAATCAGTAAAGAAGAGGCTGTTGAACTATAATCTCTTTGACACATTCGATTTTTTTGGTTCAATCAATAGTCATTTTGACAAGTTAACGAATGATTTCATCGGATGTTGCGTCGCTCTTCGCAAGTGTCTCAATGACAGAAACCATTCGCTTCTTGTATGACTGGACTCAATCCCATAGTACACCTTTGGGTATTCCAAATCACTACTCAAAAGAGTTTCTTCTTCAATGTACCTTCAGTGTATATTTTAGATTTAATAATGAAATATACAAGCAGATTGGTGGCGTGGGAATGGGTTAACCACCAAGACCCTTCTTAGCTGACTGTGTCACAGTAAGCCCAGAAAAAATCAACTTATAAACAACAGTCAGTGAACTTGGTACCTACAAAAGATACATTCATGATCACTTCATAGTTTGTAATTAAAATATGAATCTTGCAAACTTGGTTCATACTTTCAATAGTGGAAACACCCTAAAGAAATTCACTCATGAATAAAAATTAAACTCAATTTTCTAAACCCTTGATGGTTAGCTCCAAAGAAAATATGATCATTCTCTTTGTAGATCTGTTCATGAAAAGTGTGAGTAGAAGGTCAATTTTATTAATTTTCAAAGTTTGATTCACTATCTAAGTAGGAAAAGAAGTCGTATCCGTTCACTGTCCTCAACGGTCAGAAAAATATGTACAGAGGACACTGTTGACGAAGGACTAGTTGAAAATGGTCTCCCACTTAGATTCATCGGTAAGAACTCCATGTCAAAGAACACAACTGAACGAACACATTCTGCGTCGTAATAAGTTCTTGGACTGAATCTTAAATTCAGAAATAGCATTCCTGAGGATACCCTAAAAAAACGACTGTCGAGCTCCCAAAATGTAAAATACTTCGCTATCAATCTTTAAATCATTTTCTACAGTGAGAATATTTTCGACCAGTGTGCGAAAGACAAGCTGACGCATTGGCCACATTGGTGTACTTATAACCGTTTACTTACTACTGTGGAGCTGGTACATCGGCCATACCATGAGATTATAATAAACTTTGCTTGAGAACATTACCCAGAGTGCTGGTAAAAGGAGAACAAAACCACATCTTCAGCTCGATAAGAGAACACTCGGCGAACACTCAGCTCCTGTTGAAAGCTTTTCCGAATTCCTCAAAGGGGTTCGATCAAGACACCCAAAGTGAGTCAGATCGAGGCACTTGGATGTAGCTGAAGTAAGTACTGACTACCCAGAATTTAAAACCAGTGGCATATACCCCAAAAAGTAGGTCGAGCCTTGGTGGTTACCATAGTCATCATGGAACCCTGACTGTTCGAGAAAAGTCCTACATTAAGAAGTTCGATTCCTTTTCTTAATTCCTTGTTTATTTTTCTACTCGAAGCCCTTGTTTTTATTGAGTAACTTCCTGTTGTTATTTAATATATTTTTATTTCTGACTAGAAATGACTCTGGAATGTTCTACCCTTTCCAATATACATTCACGAATGAACAGTTTGGTGAATAACTTCATTGAAAAAATATTTTCTTCTATGCACCCATTTTTTTCTTCATTTCTAAGACCAATTAGGTTTATTCCACTGTTAGGGAAAATGTTCAAGCTTTAGCAGACATCAACTACTGGATACATCTGCACCACCATGACCAATTTACAGATTTACCACTAAGGGTCTCTAACCATTTATTTCTATTGTCTCGAGGACCCTAAGTAGGCTGTGTACACAGTACATGTTACGGTCTTCATGGTTCTGTAACACATCTTGGTCTGGCAACCCTAGGCCGTCTTTCAAAACACTCCAGCTTTGACTGCAACTGCTCGTCGAGGTAAGCGGCTATTGGAGATACAACAAACATGTTAGAACAACCTAAGTTGGTAAATGTTTACTACCTCTACGACTAACTTGCCTGCTTTGTGTATTACCCATACCATAATCTCGATGTTGCTAACATGATCTTTCCATCTGAAAAAGTAATATTAAGAAACACCTGTGGTTAAAATCCTGTAATATCTTCATATCTCTTACTACCAGCTGACACTTTCCACAACCATTTAAAACGACAAGGATAACGGTAGAGTAGTAAACTTGTCATTTTCTAGGTTACTTGATATCTTGCAGTCACAATAGATGGCGTAGTTTGTCAAGTGTCATACATACCTCCTGCATCCGCGCTGAGACTTCGTCAGCAATCAGCCTGTTTGAACTGATGCAACTCCTCGATTAAGTGAGGTGTTTAACGAATTCTACAACTTCGCTTCCTATCCTTAAATGGGAGTCAGTGTAGACCAGTCTTGTATCATCAACTTACATCTGACAATTATGAAACAAATGCCAAACATACTAGGGTTGCTGCTCAGGGTGTTCAGAAAATCATGCATTTTGTCGGCATCTTTTTCCGACCGGACAATGTCGTCTGCTTGCTCCGATTCAGATGCCCTCCAAGGAGTAGATCAATTTCTGTAAAGTCGTAGGTACGACATCCATAATGAAACGAATTAGGAATGGGGACAGTGTGAATCTTTGGTGGACATCACTAGTTTCCCTCACCTCAGATGAAAACTACCCATATGCACCCATACGCAGCCATTAAAAGAAACTTGTGAGGACATGTGTACCACAAAACAGTCGGTAAAACGTCAACCATTTGTTGCTAGTTTATGTTGTCTTTCTAGTTCAACTAAAAACTGCTCTCCCCAAATTCAGCAAGACAGATGCATCTAAGTATATTAAATCTATGAAATTATATATCCGGGAACCGGATGGTATTCAATTTTCTCTATTTACCAAGCGTCCCTACTGGTAAACATTTTGTTGAATTATTTATTAAAATGTTGTTCTTACTGCCAACAAATATATTAAAATGGTCTGGGCATATAAGTCTTTCTTCTGGAGAGTGTTATAAGTTCCAACTTATTGAAATTACCCTTCAGTTCTTAAAAACAATGGAAAGTTGGTATTACTGGTGCTTGAACCTTCATTGAAGGCAATTGGCGATCTCAGTCCTTGTACATCTAAACATAGAAAAAGCACTTCAGATGCTGTCTCCGTTTTATATGACAATTTCGCTG